CCAGATTCAGGACCAGCTTGTCTTCAGTATGCGACAAGCATTCGGATACTATCTGGAAATTGTTGCAGCATTCGATAGCGTGTTTAGCCTAAAAGCCAAGCTTACGACTTCCGCTGGACAACCGACGGGCTCTGTGATTTCTTATCCGAATAATCATATGTCTTCCAAAGCCCAAAAGAAACAAAGTAACACATTTCTGGCTAGATCCTGAATTCGACCAGTGAACTTTCCGTGTGATAGCAGCACAAATTACCGTTCAGTGGCTCCATACTGATACACTGAACCTAGCCCTAATAAATTGCTGAATATTTCACAAATATTTCATATATTTTTATCACAAATATTTCAAAGGGGCAAGGCAAGCCTGCCTGCCGTGGAATTTCATATAAATTGAATTTTGAGCTGGCTTCCTATCAGCGCCAGGTAGGCATAACTTTTATACAGAACAGGGTGAAGTATCACCAAAAACCTTAGCATACTTCTGGAAATCCCTCGAAGAACGGAATTGGAAATGGCTTCACCGGTTGTAAAGGTTTCGCTATGTTAAACTCACCCTGACAATATTGGTCGGTGTTGTTGAACCCGAACTGCCTGACTCCGGTTCTCTTCGTCGTTTAGAAAGGTCAAGAGGTGTTGATGTTGGTCGCTCCATAGTACGTTTGAGCCCTCCCGCCAAACCGCTAAACACTTCTCAACAATTAAAGGTAAAATAGAAGCGCTATCAATTTCGTACTACCCTACCTCATTTCTAGGGGTACAATAGGAATCGTAACGGCGAGATCACCAATAGCAAACTGAATCTTCGTTGGTGTACGCACGACACCACAAAGACTGCGATGAACTAGTAACGGCTCCGTGAGTGGAACAGCCATCTGAGGAACACCATTCTGTGCAGCTGCTGGACGTCCTATTGCCACTGGTACTATGGTTTGTGGTGGACCGAGTAACTGAAACTCAACACTTGGAGTGCCAAAAGAATGCTGTGTTAACGAAAGTTTTGACCTTAGGCTGGACACGAACTTACACCTCTCGTTTGCCAGGCGAGTGCGCTACCTGTTACGCTACCAGGGGCTCCTCTTACCTTTCACTTTCATGGCTATTGTGCCATAATTTTAGACCACTCACCTTCAATGTAGTGAGTGGACCAGTTCATCTTGACAGTGAGGCGCGAGAAGGCATTACGTTTCACAAGTTTTCAAGGCTTTAGGTTTTGAAACGGGCTTCACTATGATTCACAAGAAGGATGAATCAAAGACGGGTTCGAGTCCTACCGGTGCCAAGATTTTTACAAGGAGGCCACTAATTGCTTTTCGGGAAAGCGCTGTAGGCTTATCACTTGTAACGCCCATCCCATTGGCGCAACGCTCTCCTTTAAAATGCACCGTTCACCTAGCAGTAGAACTAAAATCATCACCTAGCAGTAGAATTTTGCGCCTAATCAGAAAAGTAAGAGTGAATCCTTCACGGAAACAGGTGATATTCGCTACACATTGTTTTCTTAAAACCTTCTCCTGCACCTCCACCCCATACTATCAAGGAACGGAGTAGCGTCATTGGTACAGAGACGTTCCACTCTACTCTCCAGTCGAAGGAACTTTCCCAAATGACATGGTACCTGCTATCCCGTCCTGTGGACGAATACCAACTGCTTTCAGAAACAAACGTAAACTTGGGCTTTTCGGCCCAAAAGCGGTAGAGATAATGAATGTATTGTATGAAAAATCAAAGTCATAACTCCTAACTACCTGAACCATTTCATGTTGATGCTCATGATAAGCGATAGGCACAAGAATCACGTTCTGAGGAGCAGCAACAGTAGCTGTTCCATGACGAATGCTGGGCACAAGTGTTGGCGGAGCAGCGACCACCACTGTAACTTACGACTTCAAATGATTTCATTTGAGAACACTTTGGAGCTCCAGATCACAGTACTCTTCACTTCCAGTTAGGTTGTTGCTACGTGAAGCCGGGGACATAGTTACACCATTTATGATCGCTTTATTATTCTGCAATCGAATACTCTGCAAAAAGTACCACCAAATAAGAAGGGGAATGTGCAGAAAGAGGATATTTTTAACGGTTTCTTTCAGGAATATCCGCGATTTTGTGCACGAAATTGATCGAAATCTCCATCGCTGTAGGTTTTCGAAACCGTAGTGGTGGACCTCACTCACACGCAGGGTACAGCATCGTTGTGTGAGACACAGCGGATCGCACTTTTCCGCTGAGGGAGGAGGGGTCGAATGTTTTTCGTGTTGACTTTCCGCGTGATCTTTCCTGTTTCATGTGTACTATGCAGGCCCCCACCCCCTCCGCGCCCTCTCCCCAGCTCAGCGGAGACTTTCTAGGTGAAAAACTGGAAAATGTGGGAAAATTGGTAGGAACGTGTTGGGGCAGAGGGGGGAGGGGTCGTACCGAAACCCTGTTCTAGGTGGGTGGGGGAGTCGTACCAGGATCGTTTTCCAGACGGAGGATCGTACTGACACCACCATTTCACACATCACGACGCTGTTCTCTGCTTACACGTTGCGACAAGGAGTGGTAGGAAAGTACTGCAAGAGGGGTTACGTAAGCGGCACCCCTCCTACGAGCTACCTATTTCAACGAGTTTAACGTCTTCCAAGTGAACTGATTAGGTAAAACTGACTTAGTTTGTTCGCATAGTCGCATGTGCTCCACACTCCTCTGAGCGCTAATGGAGACCACAGAAATGCTCGAATGCACATTTCGTTACAGCGCGTATATTGGAGAGCAAATAGATTTGTAGATGCTATTGTAGTTTTAGAATAAAAGGCAGAAGAACAATCAGAATCCTCGGAAAAAATGACCCGAGGTAACGCGAGACGAGAGACACGGTGCCGCTCATACACCTCTTATCCCCGAGAAGAAGTAGACGTGGCGTTGGAACATGACATAGAAGGATACTTGTGGCGCATCCGAATTCGAGAGAACTGTCATCTTGTGCTCTGTTGGACAAAGACGCGACCACAATTGTGCCAAAATAAAATATCTCTTCAGGAAAGCCGCTGCCACGCAAGTTGGAGCACGCAGCCACGCCTATTTAATCCTAGCGATTCCGAACACAGACGCAATGCCGTTCTCTGTAGGTGGGGCCTCTAGTACTCTTTCAAATGAACAACGTGATACGATCTCTATACTGCAGTACTACATAGTGCTACTGCAGTACTACATACTGCTTACCCCTTGAACTTATACAACAGTTTTACCTATCAGCTTATCGCAGAATATGTTCTCAGACGTCAAGCTATGACACACATACATACCCCTTCCTATTCAACTCACGTGCTGTCCTACAAGAGGATCCGAATACGTCAATGTACTTGTGACAGAATGAGTCACAAAGGGGTTCACCCTATTGCAAATATGAGAAGGATTGTATGGACCTTTGAGTTCCTCACGCCGCCAGAGAAAGTTCTGCCTGACAATGAGATTATTTTCGAGAAATCGGAGAGATTGGGGCAGCTAGAAAGGCGCCTATTTCTCAAAGAGTGAGGTCCATCCCAACATTGGTTGAGTGTGTGCTCCATCAGCGAAGTTCCCTGGTCAGCCGCCAGTCAAGCAGTCAAGCTGAGCGGAGCCAGCGCGGCAGTTGGAGATGGCAGATAAGCATGAGATGAAGCCAATAGATATGAACACAAGGCGTTGATACACACTTCACAAAGACAACTTCATCCAACTCCATCCATCCACTACACACACTCAACTAGATGAAAACAAGAAGAAGCATAGGAAGTAACGCAGACCAGTTCGAAATTTTACTCGCACATAATAATAAAAGGCAAATTCCGCGACTGCAGTTAGTTGGCAGCGGGGCTCAAAAAGAAAACAGTCCGTCTTGATACTTCAATGACGCGTTCGTTTTTGCAGTTGGTCTCGATTACTGGACAAGCATGAGATGATCGGAACCAATAAAAGAGAGGCAAGGGGGCAAATTTTGAAGGACGCTGAAAAGAGGATGGAGGCGAGAACACAATCACAATGACACGGGCAAGCAAAGCCAGTATGGACCTCCATGGGTCTAAGCAACAAGCTTACAACCCACTTCCTGCGCACTTTCAAGCCACGAAAAGAACCCTGCCTTTGCAGTTACGAACCCAGATTACCTACTTGAGAAAGAAATTGGACACTTTGCTAGCCGTCGTACCAACTGGACATTTTGCTAGCCGTTGTGCCTCTAACCATCCGCATGGTGACCATGGTAGCCAAATCATAGCTCAGCTCACCTCGAGGGTTTCCTTTGCAGTAAAACTTCTGATGAGCGTTCAGATTGTCGATTGTTAAACTTGGCGATGTGGCATTTTGGACAAGGATATCCTGCAAAAGAAATCTGTTTTGCAGTATTTCAAGCACTTTTCTCCTATAAATCTCTCTGCATAAAGGATAAAGCGTTTGTCATTGATCAGTTATTTTTGTAATGCTCCACATATATGACTCCGGCTCTTCATCACAGCAGCGCTTGGATAAGATGAAGCCTACAGAGTGCGCTGGGTCAGCCGACCCACGAGTCAGTGTTGATATCTCTCACGCGAGTCCGGTGTCACTTAAACAGCCCTCCTCTAGAGAGATGGGCGACTAGTTGGCTCAGCACTCCTCCTTCCTTCCGGGTTATGAACTTCTGGCGATGCGCTTCATAGGCGGAGCTACGGGCTAATTCACTGCTCCCAGCTCTAGCTATGAAAAGGTAAGTGCAATAGAGTTGCTTGTTTAGGAACATAGATTAAGCAACACATGGTCGCCTGAGCTTCTGTGGTTACCAAGTTCTGACCCAAATGCAAAATGTGCCCCACATTCACCTGTTTCCAGCCAGCAGCTATTCCTCAAACCAATCCAGTTCTTTCATTTCTGTTTTGCCAACCGGGATTGGCTGGTAAAACTTCTGAGATACGGCAAGCTTCGCCGCGCTTACCATCTTCCACAAATTCGAATACCCACAATGCGTCTAAAATAAACTGCAAAAAAGGGATTTGTTCGTAACGAGTAAAGTTGTCAGCAAGTCTTAGTACTGTAGTCTCGTATTTTTACGTTCACAACCCAGGGCCAGCATCTCGCGTGCGGACTTCGTTTATCTACCCAGTGGGAAAAGCGACCTCCCCGTATACGCAAAGAAGGTCCTGAACTTCTTGAAATTGCACCTAAGTGTGGACCTATGAGCCACTTTTACTTTTTTGTCAGTCTTTATGTTATTCGTTGTTTCCGCCTCATTCTTCATTGTGCCGTCCACAGGTTGAATTTTTTTTGTTTTCTCTTTCATAGGCATGGCGCACCCCTGGGTGTATTAAAATAAATAAATAAGGAGAAACAAATAAATAATGGTAGCGAATTGAATTACAGTCGCCTACGGTCTCGTCTGAAGGGTCTTTATTAGCATCCCCACCACCAATCACCGAAGAAGGTGAAAAGCGATCTCTGCAACTTCATCCCCTTTTTGCTGCAATTTCAT